AATGGCCAGAGCGATAGTTGATCCACTACCTCAAGGAAGGGCTGGACCGTGATCTACTCCAAGCATGCATCTACTGATGAATTCCTAATCAACTACAAGATTGGTATAGTATAGCAATGACCCTGGACATCGAGTTAGATTGATCAAAGAAGCCAGCTACCAGGTCTAGAAAAGCGCCTATTTGGTTGATGTCCCCAGACTACCTTGGTAGCCAGCACTTCTAAGCACCTGCTGGGGTTCCCATCAAGTGTTTCAGATATGGCAGCAAGGTCACCATGCTGAGTGCCTGGCTCCTGCTCCCCATGTCAAGAATGCACCTACTTCGGCCGTGAAGCCCAAGAAAACCCCACAGGCAGGACACGAGAAGTTGAATTGGGCTTGTCAGGAGCAGACTGTCCAGATCTCCTCTCCTTCCCAGGAAGAAGCAACAACTTCACCTGAACACCTGCCGATGCCAGCACCTTACGACAGTGATGAGGAAAGCCAGGACAATCCGATGGTAAATTGAGCCATCCCACCCTTTGCTATTCCACCAAGATTATAGTACCAAAAACTGAAGCGCAAGCAAATTTAAAAATTCTAATAGATTCAGGTTGCACCAGGTGCCTAATCAATCTCCCCACAGTACTTAAGCTGGGGATTTGTGCCAAACTGTTGCCCCTGGCCATGAAATTTGAATAGGCAGATGGGTCTCTTATCAGAGGTGGTGCACTTCGAAATGAATGAGAAATGACAGAGCTGGTGCGCTTCAAAATTGGACAGCACTGGGAGATCATCTGCTTTGTGGTGATCCCAAAAATGACAGAGACTGTGATTTTAGGATTAACTTGGCTTGATAAGTGACATCCCACCATTTGGTGGGAGAATGGTGTGAGAACTTTGAGGTTAGTGATGGGACCCCTTCCACCTACTGAGACCAGTGAGATAAAAGGAACTGCTGCAGTTGAGAACCAGGGGGAACCTATTGAGATATTAAAAGCCGCTGTAGAGCGAATACCAGGGATCCAACTTATTCCCAGTGAGTGTTGTGATTTGGGGGAACCTTTAGTGAAAAGGAATGTGACACATTTCCACTTCACCAAGCCACCGACTGCGCAATTGAAATCCTACCAGGTGCCAAACTCCCAAAGCCAAAGATGTACTCTATGACAGAGGTCCCCAACCTTTTGGGCACTAGGGACCAGTTCTGTGGAGAAAGGTTTTTCCATGGACCGGATAGTGCATGGTTTTGTGTGCTGCCTGCATCCTACAGATGAGGCTTTGCTTGTTTTTGCGGCCCGGTTGCTGGCATGCCACGGCCCAGTTCCAGTCCATGGCCCGGGGGTTGGGGATCCCTGCTCTATGAGACCCAGGGAGATGAAAGAACTGAGAGAATACATTGACAAGACCCTGGCCAGAGGGTTTATCATGCATGGCCGCTCCAGTGTTATTCAAAGAAAAGAAAGATGGGTTTTTGTGTGTGGATTTTAAAGAGTTAAATACTGTCAGCGCAGAAAACATGTACCCACTTCCTCTGATGAAAGACATGCTAGCCCACCTAGCTAAATGGAAGATCTTCACAAAACTAGATTTAAGAGAGACTTATTACCAAGTGCAAATTAAGGAAGGGGAATGAATAGAAGACAGCTTTCACTTGTCCCTTGAGAAGTTTCCAGTTCAAGGTGATGCCTTTTGGCCTCCCAGGGGCTCTTGCAATGTTTATGCAGTTGATTAACCAGGTGCTACATGATCACATATACAAGGGAGTTTTAATTTGCCTTGACAATATCCTCATCTACACCGAGACCATGGAGGAGCATGTTAAGTTAGTTTGCGAAGTGCTCAAGAAGCTGCTATAAGCTAAACTCTATGCTAAGCTTTCTAAATGCGAGTTCCAGCAGATGCACCTTGACAACCTGGGACACCAAATCTCTAGTGAGAGAGTGGAGCTGGACCTGTAAAGCAGCTTCAAAGTTTTTTTGGGTTCACAATCTTTTACCAGCAGTTCATCCCCTCCTTCGCGAAAATAGCTATGCCAATTATTGAACTATTGAAAGTCGAAAAAAGGGGGGGGGAAAGGCCTGACCTTGCCAACCTTTACAATGGATCATGGAATGCCAGGTGGCATTTGAGCAATTAAAAAGGCAGTTTGCCACAGAACCAATTCTTAAACACCCTGATCCTGAGAAACAATTCATCATCCAAGCTGATGCTAGTGATGTTGCAGTGGGCGCTGTCCTCCTACAAAGAAACCATAAGAGGGACTTACAACATTGCACCTATATCTCAGGAAAACTCACAGACACGGAGAGGCAATGGGCTGTTTGGGAGAAGGAGGATCCTTCCCAACCCTGGGAGGAGATAGCCATGGATTTTATTATGGAATTGCCTGAGAGCAAGGGAAACACAGTGATCTGGACTGTCATTGACCTTTTTTCAGAACAGGCTCATTTCATCATTTATTCAGGACTTCGGTCTGCCCAAACACAAGCCAGGCTATTTTTGAAGCATATCTATTGACTCCATGGAGCTCCAAAAAGAATTGTATCGGACAGGGGGGGGTTCAGTTTACTGTAAAATTCTGGAGGGAGTTTATAAAACTGATTAGGTCTACCCAGGGACTTTCATCTGCTTTTCATTCAAGTAGGAATGGACTGGCAGAATCTGCGAACGCAATGGTAGAACAATACCTTAGATGCTATGTTAATTACTAAGAGACTAACTGGGCAGACCTCCTATCTTTTGCCAAAGTGGCATACAACTATACAGTACACAGTAGTACTGGGTTTATCCCATTTAAAATAGCTACTGCCTGGGATTTTGTTCCATTGCTTGACTACCCCCAGGAGCCTCCCACTTTGCAGACCCTCAATCAATGGGTGATCTCTTTGCAGAATGTTTGGGCAAATGTAAAAAAAGCTTTAGCCACTAAGACTTATAAAGAGCAAGCTGATAAGAAGCGATCTCCCCAAAAGCCATTTCCTGTGGGGGAGAATGTTTATCTATCTACTAAATATCTAAGACTAAAGTTGCCTAGTAAAAAATTGGGACCTAAGTTTCTTGGTCCTTTCCCTATACTCAGAATCATAAATCCTATCAAAGTTGAATTAAAGCTACCATGGTTTTTAGGGAAAGTTCACCCTGGTTTCCCCTGTACTTTGTTAAAACCACTCATAGAAAAATCCTTGAGACCAATCCCCAAGAAGGCGCCTGGTCCCATTCTTGTAGGAGAAACCCACTATGAGATAAAACACAGTATTGATTCTAGATTGTATAAGAGAAAATTACAGTATTTAGTGCAGTGAAAAGGTTACCCCTTATCAGAAGCTACCTGGGTGAAAAGTACAGATGTGAAGGCAGGAAAGTTAATATGAAGGTTTTATGACAAGCATCCTCAGAAATTTGTAAATTGTATTTTTGTTTCCTCTGCAGGAATTGCTTTCTCCTTAGGGGGTCTGACTGTCAACTCTACAACTGGCTGCAGCCATATTGCTCATTCTAGGTTGCCACATGAATGGGAGGGTGTGCAGAGGATCTTTGCTAGTCTAAACAATTCTGTGTCCCATGGGAATCAGGGTCATTCTATCGGTTATGTTAGGGGGTTGGGCAGTGTGTTAGAAAGTCAGCCAAACTATTCTATTGGGGAACGTAGCTGATTGCTTAGTACTGGGGTGGGAAGTTTAACTTGGTAATAGTGTAACTCTTTGGAGGGAATTTCAGACTTGGTTTCACTTTTGACCATGCCGATATTTTGTAACCAATAAACCTGTTCTTTGAGGAAGCCTCTAGCCTCGGAGTTCTGATTTATTTGGCTCTATCTATCAGAACCATGGCACTAGGATATAAGAGATCCTCCCATTTACAGAAATATTTCTAAATCAAACCCATAATTTTCTTTTAAACTAGTTTTTTTTTTTTAAAAAAAGAAGGAAAAATATTAAAAGTCTAGAATTGAGATCTGGTATAGTAAATAGATTCCAGCATAACATATTATTATTTTTAATTATAGCTGCTTCTGCCTTTTCTGCAAGTGGTGAATATTGGATATCAATGACCCATTAGCTGTAATGACAATTCATGGTTCAAAAGATTATAAGGTTCAGTCTTAGCTGAGTTACTTGAACTACTTTCTAGATAAAGTATAGCAACAGTGGAACATGAAATGTCTTCTTTTGACTATTCACCAATAGTGACTGGCACTAGTAATTTCAGGTACTAGTATAATGCCTACTGCGTAGGTCAATGTCATAAATGCCAATCAATTCTCGTGCTAAGATGAGGTTTAGGAATTACAGAATATGCAATATCAGAAGTATGCCACTAATGGGGACAATATAGCTGAAGTCTTTTAGAACTGTTTCCCTGAACTTGCAAACTAAAACAGTATACTTGATACAACCTAAATTGGTGAAGCTCATCCACTTTTCAGGGTGTCTTGCCACCAGAAAACAGACACTGTGCCTTGACTCAAGAGGCAAATGAGGCTGGAACATACCTGGCTTTAAATATCTAAAACCTGACCTTATTTGGAACCCAAGTCAAATGTGTTCCTTTCAGAATCCAGAGGATATTTTGCCCTTTTGCCCCATAGGAACTCACAAACCCAGACATATTTTTAGGTGATTAAAAAAAGTGATCCTTCCAAATCTTTACAGTCCTGTTACAGCCTAACAGGAAATCGTGCTCACAAAGAGAACAGTTCCTTCTGTAAAATATTGCTCTTGTATTTAAAAAAAAGGAAAGGAAAAGAAAAATAATAAAAAGAAAATGAGCCACATCCATATGACTTGACGTATTAAAATAAATGCATGGTTCCCATTTCAAATAAGTGATGGGGAAATAAATCATATTAAACTGGTTTATGCATTAATGCTGATTAAAAACACTTACTGACCTTATTACTCATAGCAGAGTAGTTTTCGCAGCAGATATATTTAATCTAATGACATTTAGCCCACAAAGCTTTCCATCTGAACCCACCATCTTCCATCAAGTTGATTTCAAAGTTGACATGGACTTACAGGATTTCTTCTCATTGCTCCACCCACAGCTCTGGCTGCTTTGCTGTGGCCTGCCAGGGCTGCTAATTGCTTGTAAGAAACTGCCTCTCCAAATTTCACATCTCTCAGCAGAGTCCACAACACATCTCTGGTGAATGAAGCTGGAAGGAAAGCAGAGGAAACAAAAAGGAACAAAAGTAACAGCGACAGAGATATTACTTGCTTTTTTAAAAAGAGGCATTTAAATCTGGAAGAGCAGGTGGCTTGGCCAAAATTGTAGATGATATTGCTTCCTTTGTCCCCTCCCATTTGAATCATTCCCCCAGTACCAGCAAGGAGGGCTGTGAATAGAGCAGCAAACTTGACACAGGTGTGAGATGGGGTGTAATTTGGGAGTTCTGTGGCTGCTAATAAAGAGAGAAGTGTAACAGCCAAAGGACAGAAGGGGTTCTTTCTTCAGAGGGAGTGGAATGGCCAGAAAAAAGAGAAATACCAGATGTCCAGCAAAGCAGAGTCTGGAAAGGTGTAAGAGCTCTACATGCTGGACATAACAGAAAAGGAAAAAAGTAGAAGAAATCCCAGAGGGAGGAAAATGAGACAGAACAAGCTTTATAAGAAGGAAACATTGATGTATAATAGAAACAGCAGAGAGCACTAATGATAATAGTATAGTGGTCCTCGATTTACTAGCATTTGTTTAGTGACCGTTCAAAGTTCCAATGGCACTTGAAAAGGTGACTTATGACTGGTCCTTGTGACTGTTGCAGCATCCCCATGGTCTCATGATCAAGATAGACATGCTTGGCAGCTGGCATGTATTTACTATGGTTGAGTGTGCAGGGGTCACGCAATTGCCTTGTGGGACCTACCCAGCTGTTTTCCACAAAGCAGAGTCAATGGGGGAAGCCGGATTCACTTAACAACTGCATGATTCATTTAGTAACTGCAGTGATGCACTTAACAATGTGGCAAAAAAGGTCATAATATTGAGTATGACTCACTTATCAACTTGTTTAGCAGTGAAAATTCTGGTCCCAACTGTGGTCGTAAGTTGAGGACTATCTGTATATAGTATAGAGGAAACATAGTAATCATATAGTTTAGAGCAGTGCTTGTCAACCTTGGTAACTTTAAGATGGGTAGATTTCAACTTCAGAATTTTGCAGCCAGCAAACTGGAATTCTGGGAGTTGAAGTCCATACATCTTTAAATTGCTGAGATAGAGAAATGCTGTCCTATCCTACTAGATTTGCTGTGTCAGTCTACTGTGACACAATGGGGAAAGTACACTCAAATATGTACTGTTGCTGGATGTTTGCTGGAATTCTGGAAGTTGAAGGCCACACATCTTAAAGTTGCCAAGGTTGAAAAACTGTGGTACAGAGAGGAAACATTTTAAAACTAATAGAACAGAGTATAGCATAGAGATAATAATAGGTGTGTACACAAACACACATTTGTAAGTCTTATATACCATTTTTATAGAACACCTTTATTTTGTAAAATAAAAAGTCTCCGCAAAACATATAGGGAGATATAAAGTGCTTTTGTGTCTCTTGAGTCTGTGGCTATGGTTTAAAAGAAAACTCATGACATACAGTATGCACATCAGTATTTTTTTTTTCTTTTGAATTAGCACAGCAATCAGTTCTAGGATTGTGTTCTATATTTAAATTCATGATTATTAAAGAATGCAGTTTGAGTACTGATCACTATTACAAAAGCATTCAGAACTTTGATTTTTCTATATTTTTAATTTCCAATATAATTATCCTGTTAACTTATACAATAGGCTTTCCCATTCAATGGCAAGCTTAAATAGACATACAGTTAAATTAAAAAAGAAAAAGAAAAAAGGAGAATAATGGACAGGACTTGTTTTATAATGCTTTTCTACTTCTAATTTTCAAACTTAAGCTGGGCAGGAAGAAAGCTAGCAGGCTGGATTATTGTATGCCTCCCAGCCACCATTTCACATGTTAGATATGAGAAAATACAGTGGTGTCTCGCAATATATATTGCATATTTGAATGGGTAATTCTGATTGAAAGAAAACACTCATTTATTTACTGCCTAGTTACTCTTGATTTTCATATTGTTGTTAATAAGGCATGGAGAAAAGCAATCTTTGTAGATTGCTGCAGAATGAGACATTCATCTGTGACAATGGAAAAATTCCTTGGCATGATCTGATTATGGAAAGAAGGGAATAATTATTTATTTGTTTGTTTTATTTATTTCCTGCCTTTATTACATTTATAAATAACTCAAGTCACCAAATACACATAGTACTCCTTCTTTCTCTTATTTTCCCCGAAACAACAACCCTGTGAAGTGGGGTTAGGCTGAGAGAGAGTGACCAGACCAAAGTCGCCCAGTTGGCTTTCATAGTTATGGAGGGACTAGAACTCGCAGACTCTATATTTCTAGTCTGTTGCTTTAATCACTAAACCATATTGGCTCTAAATAGCATGTTTTACGGGTAGTCCTCGACTTACAAGAACCATTGAGCCAAAATTTCTGTTGCTATGCGAGACAGTTAAGATCTTTCTTACCACGGATGTTAAATGAATCACTGGAGTTGTTAATAACATGGTTGTTAAGTGAATCTGGCTTCCCCATTGACTTTGCTTGTCTGAAGTTTGCAAAAGGTGATCCCATGACCCCAGGCCACTGCAACCATCATAAATATGAACCAAGAGTCTAAATTTTGATCATGTGACCATGGGCATGCTGCAAGAGTTTTGTGAAAATGTATGTCACTTTTTTCAGTGCTGTTGTAACTTTGAAAAACTTCTGTGGTTATTTTTGCCCAGAATTATTTATGTAATAGATTTGTAGGTCATTGTATCTTCCTGGAAGCTTGCAGCTATAAAACATAGTCCCAAGAATTAAAACAACCACAGTTAGAAAGAACAGAAGCATAAACAGCTTCCAGAAGGACTGCATTTTCACCATCTTTTGGAAGGTTATCACAGAAGGGAAGTTGGGATTCCCAAATGAAGGAATGCTTTAATCTACTTATTGATCTTCTTAGCAAAGGAGAAATATTTATTTATTTAGTGCTATTTGTAGTCCACAGGGTACACAGTTTGAAATATAATACAATAAAAAAGAGCAATTACAATAAAAACAATCCTTTATGGTGGTCACCCAATGGACTCAAAGCTTGTTGGAAGAGTATCTGCTCCCTGAAAGCAAGAATTGGGCTATCCACGCCTTTGCAGATAGAAAAGAGCATTCTATGGAGGAATAGATTGAGGATTTTAGATCTGCAATAAACCATAAGTTGCTATTCTGTAATATACTCCTATCTTCTTCTCATTTGCTGCCCCAGATCTCTTTTAACTTTCTACAAGTAGTCTACAACAATTTGTTTAACAACAATTCAAAGTTACAGTAGGGCTGGAAAAAGATATGACCTGTCCTCAAACCTATGACTGTTGTACCATCCCCAAGGTCAAGTGATTGCAATTTGAGCACTTGGCAATTAGTTTGCATTTCCAATAGTTGCAATGTCTTGTGGTCACAGGGCCACAATTTGCAACCTTGTCAACTGACTGTTGATAAACAAAGTCAAAAGGGGGAAGCTGGATTCACTTAATGACCATGCAATTCACTTAATAACCGCAGTAAAATTGGGTCTGGTCATGTAATGACTTGTTAATGACCCCATCACTTATCAAAATTCCAGTACCACTTGTGGTAGGTCGTCAAGGATTTTTGGTAAATTAAGAGACAGATAGGGAAAAACAGGGGGAATGACAGCAATGTTTTCCTCTGAAGCCATCAAATGACATTTTGGGGGGCAGAAAAAAAATGTTTATGTGCTGGTAATTAAATTAAAAAATTAGTTACATTATATTTACTCCAGAAAAACATTCTTTGTTCTTAAATAAACCTATATATATTTATTAGTTTTAAATAATAACAACTTTTTAAATGAATAGCATAACACTCACTAGGAAAAAAATATCCATTTAGCCTTTATGGTAACGTTAAGCAAATTAAATATCAGCATAATCCAGGTGATACTAGGAAAGGGTCATCAAAGAAATTATCTTCGTTGTTCATTAATTTACATGGATTAAAAAGGGCAAAGAGATAGCAAATCTGCTCTAGTTCTTTTATGATATAATTTCAAACTGTACACCATTTGTAGCACTAAGGTGATTTTGGGGTTAATCAGACTGATTTGTCCTTTTAATTGCTTTCTATTCAAAGAAAATTCATTAGATAATGTTCTCTTCAAAATTCATGAATCAATTTAACTGAAGAAACCATATTAACAGCTTTGGGTTCATTAGCACACAGAGTTGTGTTACGAACTGATTGCTAGGAGAGTTTCCTTAGGCAGTAAGATTTTGTTGACTGCATTTTTTTTTTCCCGAAAGGCCTATTTAAAATTCAATTCTATATAGTTAGAGTGGATTTCTCCAATTCCATTCTATGGTTCTTCCCTAACTTAGCTATGGACTATGCCTGCTTTTTTGCAGGATGAATTTTGACGGTTTATTTTAGAAATCGATTTCTTATCAGTTTGCTCTCTGACTTAATCTTTCTATATGGTACATACATAGACTCCTGATTCTGTAGCAGCCTAAGATCCTGGCATCCTTCTTACTGACTTCTCTCTCACTTGGCCTTTCAAGTCTTCTTAGACAATAATGATTCTTCCTATATAGCAAAGCTAACTGGACACTAAACCAGCGCACTTTATAATAGTTATTAACATAAAAACAACTGTCCCTGGTGAAAAGTTTTTGTAATAGAACTAAATATACTACTAAAACTCTTGTACCTATTTGTTTCTAACCTTCAGTTGGACAATATTGGAAAATATAGGAAACAATTACTGAATCAAGGTAACTGAAATGGGCTCATTTACAGAATTCCCATAATTCTCAGTTATGGTCATGTTAGCTGAGAAAAAACCAGGCTGGGAAATATATGGGAGATAGTCCAAATATTTTCATTATACTATATTGATGTCAGAAATATCCAAAAATGAAAGTACCATGTTTGGGACTTTTAGGAAAATGATTTCAAAAAATTGATTAGTCAGCAATGTAATACTTTAGGTCAGTGTTTCTCAACCTTGACAATTTTAAGGCATGTGGACTTCAACTCCCAGAATTCCACAGCCAGCAATGCTGGCTGT